AAAGGCGGAGCTGCACCAGAAGGTAGAGCTGCACCAGAGTCAGCCCCGCCCATTTCATCAGAGTCAGTCCAATTCCTTCCAGTTGTCAGACTTGATAGCATTCTGGAACCAACGAGGGTGTTATAGCTAAAAAATGCAACATTGAGGACGGAGTTGAGAAGTTAATAGAACAGTTTTTGTAAAGGTTCCATATAATTAAAAATCTAACTTTTGGATTTTTTACCATGTTATATTGTCATTTCCTCATAAGAAACACGCCAAAGCCATTTTTGGCCTCATTCATGCATTTTCCTCCCATCTCAGCTTCAATTTGGTCTCCTCCCCCGAAGCGGGTCTGGTCTTGGTTCTCAAATCTGGATATTCAGTACATTTTCTGACAAATTATTTCTGAAATGACTTCTACTGAGACACCGCCAATAAACCATACATCCCATCTCCAAAGACACACTGGGTAGGACAATTACATGTAACGCCACTTAATTTTTATCAGACGTGGTGATGTAGTGGTTATGGAGTCAGGTTGACATGCAGTTTTGCGCAGGTTCGCCTCCCAGTAGCGGAAGGATTAGGTAGTTTACAACCCCTTTTCTTCATTTCTAGCTACACTTGCCAGTACTATGTTTACAATAATTTACTGGTATACCGTTTAACATATAATGACTAATGTGTTTATTTATTTATTTATGCATTTATTTAGCCAGTGTGAGTCCATTTGTGAGCAGATTTTCAACTAAAATGCTGTTTAGGAACGACCAAATTCAAAGAACTTTTAGAGACATAAATATTTTGCAGAAAATAAACATTACAACTAAAATGTAAACAAATTAAATGTTTCAGCTGGCTAAATAGATTACTACTGACCCCACCGAGAATCGAACCAGCATCAGCTGAGGGGAAAGCAAAATTTAATTCAGACAATCTTGCCACTGGACTACCAAACCAATTTAATAGTTTTACATGCTGTTGTACACCAGTTTTGTTAGAGCGGCTGTGGGCAGATATTCGCTAAAAGAAACCTTTTCATTTCAGGATGTATCCAGGCTTTGTCATGTAGCAAGTTATATTTACCTTGTTTAATTGAAGCATAGAACATCGCATTAACGACTGTAAACTAGTAACAGCCGTAATTCATGTGGGTCAAGTTAGTTTGCGATAAAGTTGAAAAACAAAAACGGAAGTCAGTGGGCTAGGCTGAGTTTGCGTGAATGAACGGGGCTGACTATGGTGCAGCTCCACCTTTGTGGTTCTGCAGCGAGCAACCTCTCAATGATTCTTTGGACAAATTAACAGGATTGAGATTACGATCCGCAGTAGACAAATGATTGCAGCACCTCACGCTGTGTTTGCCTTATCGTGTTGATTCTGAACCTTTCATATCTGATCGTAGCATTTATCACTTTACTTATTATATTTCTTGTTTTGATGCTTATCATTTTTGTCTTGAGTATGATCACCTTTCCTGGGTTTACCCGTTCCCTATTCCTTAAGTTGTGGTTGATGTAGATTTCATAGATGATGGTGACTAGTATGTAGGTGGATACAATTCCTTATTATTTTACTTATTTTTATTTTCCCTAGTTGGTTTTGTTTTGTTTTGTTTTGTTTTGTTGCTTCCTTTTGTTTGGTTATCCTATTCGGATAAACAGGAGGGAATGTTATGGAAAAAATATGTTTGTTAATTCTTGATCATGGACTCAATCAACTGAATGTAAAAGTATCGCTCTATGCCTCTTTGATCATGCTCACTCATTCAGACACACCCACACAAGCCACTCACACACACACACACACACACACACACACACACACACACACACAATCTCTCTCTCTCTCTCTCTCACTCCCCCTTTCTGTAAATAAACTCTGTGACCGGATGTTCGGTGCATTTTGCCGCAGTTATAACTGTTTGACTTGTCTGCTCATTGTCTCCTTCTCTCTTCACTATAGGAAATGGGTTATTGATAAACATATTGATAAAATCCATGACACTAATGCTAACAGTTAGCTTCTACTAGTTGAGATGTTCTCTGCTGTTTCCTGGATGCTAAAACAACAACAGCCTACCCTGTCACAAGTCAAGCTGGTTGAGTCCATGAATGTTAAAGCAGCTGTCCATTATTTTATCTTTTATCTGATGGTACCATCTGGTAGCGGATAAACGTATCACGTCATGGCCTACTTTAATTTCCGTGTTTAAGGCAGAAAGCATAAACGCCCTCCTCTAGCTGACAAAACAGAACATTGTTTTACAATTATTATGCTCATTTTATGCTGTGTATTTAAATATTTAGATTTTAAAGACTTACTTGTCTAAGAGTGAGGTCGCCAACCTGCATCAAACAAGGTGCGTCCTTAAACGCTCGAGCACGCTGTGTGATCAACATCTGTACATAAGTGGTAGTTTAATGCTATTAGTGCTGATCACCGCCCAGTTCATACTGGATTGTGCTCCAAGGGATCGGGGGTGGGTTTAGCAAAAAATAAATAATTAAAAAAATGACGCATTTCCTACATTATAAAGAGATTATGTACAAAACATGACACTTAATTCCTGAAAGGGGAAAAGTCTGGACAGCAGCTATAAGTTTCAGTGTGACATAGCTCTGTCAGGCTTTTCAAACATTTCTATCAGAAGCTAATGCAGGAGATAGGTGTAGGAGACTATTTTCATGTTCAGCCTGCATGGAAATCTCAGAGTGACGGATTATAATCAGAAATTGTCATTAAAAATGTATTGTGTGAAAGTTATACTTAACATCTTACCTGTTCTAGTTCCTGAACAGCCTCTCTTCTGAGAAAATGTTTCTCTTTCAGGACTGATGCGCTAACGGCTAGTTTGAGCAAGACCAACGCGTGTTAACCTCCAAAAACGTCAGGTTCTGCATTTTGTGTTAAATCTTTTCACATGTCCTGGTTATTTACATTGAATTCTGATTGATAGCAGGAACTACTTTGCTCATCACTCCTGTCATGTTACCCCATTTCTCCAAACTGATGCTATTCATGCATGGTTTCTATAAAGGCCAGGATGTTACTAAACTAAGTTTTAAACAAATAATTCAAAATGGCCCAGAAGTCCATTTAACATTAAATTAGGGTAAGCGGCCCCTGCTGAGCGTGCACCGAGGAGGTTTCTGGCCCCAAGCCTTTAAATTAACTGGCATCTTTTTAATTTTTCATAGCGCTCAGCTCCTCGTGGCCTGAAACCGAAGACAATAATGCGTCTCTCAGGTGAATTGATTTGTGCAGGAGCCTCAAGCCTCTACCCCTCCCTCTCTCTCTCCCCTCCATCTCTATCTCACCTCTGTGGAGGACATAATCAAGACTATTTCATCTAACTTTTCATGACTTGTGTTAAACTTATTTTAGACTTATTGTGTTATAATCTCAACTAAAGGAGAGTTAAATGTCATTTTAAGTGTTGAATGGTTTCTTCTATGAGTTTATTGCTTTAGAAAATAAATGGATAATCCCTGATGCTTTTTTATTTTATTATGTCAAATCTTATTAAATAAAGGCTGGATGTTGCTGTCACTGATCTAACAGCTAACCTGACACTGCAGAGATCAATAATGCTGCCATTTCCTTCAGAGTCCCAGAAGAGAGAATTAGATTTCTTACTGTGACTATTGACAGCAACATAAGAAACACACATATGAGACAGTGTGTGCGCGTGCGCGTGTGCACGCGGCAGCAGACGGCGGTAATTTCACGCTCTGAGAGCCGAACAGAAGATGTTAAACAACCCACATCTGCAGAGCAAAGTCACATAATAACCTTAAATTAAACCGTTTCGATCCGGATATTAGTTTCATGACAAGATTAATTACTTTGACAATCTAAAATAATAATAATAATAATAATTGATTTCCTACATAATAGGTATTTCCTTTTATTTTTGAAGAAGTTAATTAATGTAAAACACACTAAATGTCTTCTTCCTAATAATTATTATTGCATTTTTAAATTTAACCCCATTGCAATAAATAATGTTGGACAAAAATGTTAGATTTATGTTTTTGTTTTAGTTTAAATGATAAAATAATAATAATAAAAAGAATCAAATGAATTTATTTGTGCCGAATTAGAATCGTTTTAATTTATAGCCTAGAAATTTTTTTTATAAAAAAAGACCCACAAGCGTCAAAAATACTTAAAATAAAACTATTTACCAACATGGATTGAAACATTTCCAAGAAGGCCTGCTTCATCATGTAAATGTTATCTTTAATACATTTATGAATTCATAAAATAAGTATGTTACATATATTTTTACCATACACCCTCAGTGGTGTGTCGGGCTTTATGTGCGCGTGATGAAGCCTTTTAGTGGGAAATCTAATCTGAGTGGATTACGGTGCAGTGGGTCCTACTAGATGTTGCGTCGGTGTGTTTTGCTCCGGGGTGGAGGGGGCAGGCCCGTAACCAGGGGCCACTGGGGCCCTGCAAAACCGCGGTATAAGATTCCCATTTACAAAGATAAACACAAAGTCCACGTGGAGGATGGACGAGCGGATGGATGCATGGATGGATGGACGCGCAAATGCAGTTCTGCAGAGATAATCTGTCACCATGTCTTCAAAGCCGCATCATATTTTTAAAATGACAATATGATAAAATTAATGTCAAATTGTGAAAAAAAAATGTGTAGTTGCATTTATGATTTCACTTTACAGTTTTAACGGATCTTGAAGGACCTTCTGATTAGAATAAATCTGAAAGTGCGTCTAAAATCAGTAAAAAAAACATGCAATAAGTAAACTGATTAAATTCACACAAACTGTCACCATCTCGATTTAATTGGCATTAACTGCTTTTCTTTACCCGCATCTTTATTCTAGTGAGTTCTGATTATTTATCATTCCATTTAAATCTTTAAATTACAAAACTGAATAAATGTGTTATAAGTTAGCGTCAGAGTACATAATAATCATAGAAACTAAGATATGCTATTGTTTAACACCAAACATGAATTGTACATCAGAATAAATGAGACATACCTGTGTCAGAGCTCCAGGAGCGCTGCGCTGCGCCGCACAGCTCTCCCTGCTGTTTGCAGGCTGTCACTGACCTGGTCAGAACACCGAGCCACCCCCAAACGATATTACATTCAAAAGTAACAAACTCGAGCCCTGAAGAGTATCTCAGAGCGAGTTTGAGCACGTTCACAAGCTCTGACCCGAGTTCCGGCCTCGTGCTTCGGCGTCACGAGCCTTAACTTCTGCGGGAAACATTATTTTCAGTCAGCGTCCAAGTTTGAGCACCGGGCTCCTTCAGAGGTATTGCATAGGACTGGGGACCGAGCCGCTGCGCATGCGCCCAGCTGCCATGCGGACACCAGGGCAAGTGTCCAGAGAAGTATTGGGGTTTAGTTCTGGGAGGCTGGACTTTTATTAATAGTTTGGTCCAAATGACGCGCTCAAAGTTTTAAATATCCCATCTGCAAAAACAAGCCTCTGAGTCCTTCTGTCGGTCATCTCTGCTTTACTGCGACTCTGCGATTAATGCCGTTAAAAAAAAATTTTGTTCCATGAATAATTTTCTCATTTCTAATTTTTTGTATAAATTTAACGCAAATATTGTCAGGGATCAAAGTCCTAAAACGATCCTAGCTTTCAGGGGTGAATTAGTTTTGGTAAAAGCACAATATTCCTAATAAATAATATAAAATGCACATTTTGTATTTGCATGAAATGAAAGAAAATCTGTTTGTCATAGCTCGCTCCTTGTATATTGTAAACCGTTCTAAAAGCAGGTCTAATTTGCAGAAATTGAATAAGAAAATTAGAATAGCTGTGCAATAAAACACACACACACACACACACACACACACACACTCACACACACACACACACACACACACACACACACACATGCGTGCATGCATACACAGTGATTTAAAATACCTTGCAATAGATACAGAGTTTGCAGCAATTATTTGTTTCTTTGCTACTATAAATGGAGGCTGAGAATTGATATTATCTTGCAAGGTGACCTCTGAGTGAGCTTATTAGCCATTTGCTGTAAAAAGCTGGCTGACGCAGGCAGCACAAAGTCACATAATGCCATACGTAGTAAGCATGACCTCATGAAGACTGACTTGTGAGAGTGTTGGCGCCGAACTGAGAGGGTCGAATTAGAAACTGTCATGGCTTTTGAAAAGAAGAGAGGCCTCTGGATAACAAAAAGAGAAAAATCACTGATTTGCTGTCTATTGTTGGACGTTTTGCTGATTTTTCGTACAAGAATGTTAAAAATGAAAACCAAATGAGCATTATTATAAACACGGGGGTTTGCCCACATACATCTTCTAAACTAGCACCCTCCCTGCACCCGTCCCCCTCTCTACTGTCCACTCCTTGTTCCCTCCTCTCCATGATTGATGTCAAGTTGTTGTTGATGTTGTTAGCTTCAAGGGCAACATGCCGATTATCACTTGTAAGTTGCTTTGGACAAAAGCGTCTGCTAAATACATAAACATAAAATTAAACATAAATGCATAAACATTTTAACGGGCCCTACATGGGATCTATATGGTATGATTCATACATGGGCCCATTAAAATCTATGTGGGCAAATCTCTGTGTGGCCACCATGGAAACGGCAAACAAATTGGCACCCGTGCGGTTTGCCCATGTGAGGCTCACCTATGCATGCTGGGGTCTGGAACCAGTGGAGAGTACCAGAACTAGTATCTCCTCTATAATGTCACAGACTCTTTTCAGCACTGATTTCAGCCAGGGGCTGGATTTACAAAAGGACTGAGCACATTTAAGAGGTGCAAATCAGGATTTTGCCCCTTTGATAGGAAATTAGGATATTTTCTGACATGGAAAGTTTGTCTCTGCCTTGCAGGAGTTTTCCAGTTGGCAGGACATTCCTCCTATGAGCAAAAACACCTGCTAATAAATTAGTTTGTGGTGTTTCTGCTAACTAAAAATGTCTTTGAACTTGATCTTGATAGGGAAAGCTCTTGCAACAGACTCACCGTTCAGGTGCAGCTTGCCACCTTTTGAACATGTTCTGAATTAATTTTGAAGAAAATCTGCCCAAATGACTGCTAGAGAAAAAAGTTTGTGACTAAAGTAATCACAGTTTTCTGAGAGCTGGTAGTTTTTGCATATCAAGTAAAACAACAAGTAAAAGAAGGAGTTCAGTCACACTACTTAACAAAAACAGATCAGGCGTGTCAGGAAAAGTCTTAATCCATCCTTCCTTATCTAACAATGATTGTCAGATTATTGAATCTACAAATAATTAGACAAAAAAAAAGTGGTGAAATCCCACTTTTTGGTATTTTGCATTTAGAATAAAAAAAACCTTTATGGGCTTGGACGTTAAGCATCACAGCTGCACATCTGGACATGAACAAACACATTTCAAAGTAAGTAATCTGAGAAATGATTTTGTGCATTTGGAACCGAAATTAATTTTGAGATTGTTCATGTTGTTCATGTTCAAATGCAAACCAGCAAATTACTCACACCTACTGAGTTTCATAGACATATAAAGCAATTAGTAGTGTTTGCTACTTCATTGATTAATCTGAGCCTCAACTTTGTTTGAATGTTAAAAGCAAAATATCGTTAAAAACTTACTTTAAAGGTCTGATTAGTACAGCATGGGAACTCATCATGCATCTTTGTGTCAGGGATTTGTGTTTACCAAAATCTGAGCAAAAATCTGATTTTCCAAATGTCTTTCAAGTGATCAAGTTTAGCATGCACTAAAAACGTTCATGCATCTATGATTGCAGCACTTATCTAGATTTCTTGTTTCTACAAATTCTGCTTTCCTCGTTAGAACTGGCTGATTAAAATGTGGATTTAAACCATTCAAGCTGATCATTTTCAAGTTTATTTTTCTGCCATACTGTCATCGTAATCTGGTTTGACTCATTTAATAAGAATAATCCCGCTGCGTTCCCCTCAGCTTCTTCCTCCAGCAGCGGTCGCGGGTCTAAACCAGAAGTGATTGACTCGTCGTGGCAGAATAAATTAAAACTTCAAGCTGCAACGAGACCCAAAATAGCAGGACGCTGTCGTGACCTGCAGTCTCTGCCTCATGTCAGCATGCTTAAAAAACTTGGCAGAACATTCTGGATGGAGGAAACATGTTCAGTTGTTTGTGCATTTCTCTCCCTCTGTGTGAAAGTGTGTGAATGAGCCAACAAGCGCTGATATACGATAGTGCTGTGACCACACCGTTAGATTAACATGCTAACCAACGCTTGACAAAAAAGAAAAATGTTGCAGTGACATAAATTCTAGCTGCTGCTTTTGTTAAATTGCAGAATATAAAAATGAATGGATACTGAAATAGTAAAAAGAGCTGTTTGATTAAACTGAACCCTTTTTGGGCTTTAAAGGCTTCCAGCAGGTGAGTATTTTCTTGTCTCTGGAGGCCAAAGGCCCTAAGATGTCTGGTGGCGTTACAGGACTGCAAATGTCCCTTGCCAGGTCACAGAGCTGGTGGTTCCTGCCAAGCAGAAAGGTGGGGGAGGGAGAAAATGCCCCTTGCTGGCTGGTATTTATAGATATGTGAAGAACTTGTGCGCAGGCTTGGCCGAGGTGCTGACGACGTAAAACGAGAGGACGATTCCAAAAGTCGAGTGTCAGGGCGGGCGGATAAAAATACCCGCTGAAAGATGGGCCTGGTCGTCAGTGGCGCAGTGTGGCATGTGACATGGCAGCATTTCAGATGTGATTTATGGTTATTACTACAGTTAATCTATACCTCTCCTGTTCCTGAGCCAGGCGTGCTTCTCAAATTGGATTGCCAAATGTTATGGCGGGCTGGGTTTATTTCAGGGGCTGAGCACATAGAAACAAGTCCGGGGCATTCTGGACTTGAGGAGTTGATATTATAATAAAATAAACAGGATCAACAATAGCATCACATTAATCATGCTAAAAATATAGAAGGCTGTGATAAAAGTTTTAATGGTGAAGATGAGCTCTCTGCACGTGTCTGCCTTCTGGAAAAGCTGCAGGGAGGAACAAAAGGAACATTAAACACGTTGGAAATTCCTGTAATGATCTTCTACAAAGCTGCTACTCTGGTTGCTTTTGGACCACAAATGTCTGAAACAGGATGGTCCAGATCTTAATGAATGTGTTTCTATGGAAACTTTGATCTACTCTTACCAAAGCCCACTGGTCGTGCAGCACCAGGCTAAAGACCAAAGGTGACAGATCATTTGCTGCTGTGGCCCCCAGACTCTGGACCTCTCTCCAGAGTTTTGTTTTTCCATCCATCCATCCATCCATCCATCCATCCATCCATCCATCCATCCATCCATCCATCCATCCATCCATCCATCCATCCATCCATCCATCCATCCATCCATCCATCCATCCATCCATCCATCCATCCATCCATCCATCCATCCATCCATCCATCCATCCATCCATCCATCCATCCATCCATCCATCCATCCATCCATCCATCCATCCATCCATCCATCCATTTTCTTCCGCTTATCCAGAGTCGGGTCGCGGGGGCAGTAGCCTAAGGCGAGAGGCCCAGACTTCCCTCTCCCCAGTCACTTGGGTCAGCTCCTCCGGGGGAATCCCAAGGTGTTCCCTAGCCAGGTGAGAGACATAGTCCCTCCAGCGTGTCCTGTGTCTCCCTTTAGGTCTCCTCCCGGTTGGACGTGCCCGGAAAACCTCACCATGGAGGCATCCTGACCAGATGCCCGAGCCACCTCAACTGGCTCTTCTCTATGTGGAGAAGCAGTGGGTCTACTCCGAACCCCTCCCAGATGACCAGCGCTGGACTGACCATAGGGCATAGCGGGCAACTGCCCGCTGGGCCGACCCTTTCATCTTTTATGGGCCGGTGTCTGTTTTTTTTTTTTTCCTGGCCTCTAGTTGTTGCGGACAACTTGTCCGCGCCGCCCCACGCGACGCCTCGTAAAAGTTGGTGGATTGGCCAATTGGTAATAATACACTCTGGGCTGGACCAATAGCCAGAGGTCTGATGCACCCGCCAGTTGTTTGTGAATCTCAGTAAACAGACAGACGAGCTTTACAAAATGGAGAACAAAAAACGGAAAGGAGGAGCGGAGAAAATTCGACTAAAAAAGAAACTGGCCCTTCAGGCTGATGCTGGCACATGTGTTAAAATCTCACAGTTGTTTGGTAGTGAAGGTTCAAGTAAAATCAATTTAGGAAGTGACAGCCCAGCGACAGGTTGGAGAAGAAAAGAGGGAGGAGGAGGAGAAACCCGAGCCGGTGTTGTGCCATAAATTGACTCGCTGCCAAAAAATGATTAGCCACCGCGGGATCGCGCACGGTTAGGTAATTGCATTTCTAGACAAAATTCCCCAGGATTT